AATAATAAGTAAAAAATTTATTAATAATAACATTTATATTTGTTTAAAATTTTTTGTTTATTTTACATTTGAAGTTATATTTATACAATATAAATATAATTATATATTTTTAGGAAGTATCAATAAAACAAGCAGAAAAGGAATTAGAATTAGAAGCTGTAAACCTTTATCAAATGCAACAAGAAGTACAACATCAGCATACAATATTACAACAATACATAGAAGCACTTTCTAAAGTTACATTATTGAGAGAAAAAAAGAATAGTAATATGGAAAATGCTAAGCAAATTGTGAAACAGAGTTATTCAAAATTAAAAGAAGAAAAAGATAAAAAAGAAAAATTATCTCAAAATTTACAAAAATTAGTGGTATTTCATTCTTACTTATCTAAATGGGAGAAAAATTTAAACAACCATTTAATAATATCTAAACAAATGTCATTACAAGATGTTAATAGGAATAAGATATTGATTAATAAAAAACAACAAAGAGATTTTATATTATATCGATTAAAAGAAGAAATATGGAAAATTGAATCAGAAATAGCCTATATTGATGAGCAATTACAAATTAAAGATAAAGAAAAGAAAGATATTAATAGAATGATAATTGATGCAAATACAGATTTAGAATCTCTGCATACAGAGCATAAAGATTTGCATAATATATGGAAATCTGTGGTAGCTAATATTTCTAAAAGAAATGATATACATGATCTGTTACATTGTGAACAAAAGTAAATATTATAAAAAGATTAGAAATCATATAAATATTTTATTGTACATATGAATTTATAAATTGCAGAAATGTAAATAATTTACAACAATTAATATTTAAACACTTTTTTAGAGAAGCACACAAGTTATACAGTGGATTATTATTAGAAATACAAAATGTAAAAAAAGAAATAGAGAAAGAAATGGAAAGTAATGAAAATTTAACATCTTTATCTTTTCGAGCAGAAAATAACATTAAAATTACAACAAAAGCAATATCATTGTACAATGAAAAAATTGCAAAGAATAAATCAGAATTAATAGATTTTGCAAAAATGAATGAACAAATACAGTGTGATTACAATATCATATTTAGTGTATGTTGAATATATTGTCATAATTTAGAACCTCTTTAGAAGGAAGGCTTCTGCTAAAATGGCGTTTTAAAATATTCTTATAAATAAATAACTGATATTTAAGTTGAAATATTTTTTGTTTATATTGATAAAAATATAATTGATATCGATAAAAAACCTATACAATCGATATTGTATAAACTCCATCTTTCATATATAATAAGACTATAATAAAGAGTTGACTATAAAAGCGAGATAACTGAAAAATAGCCTGTGTCAATCGCGCTATGTTGAAGAAGTACCTTTCTTCCAAAGAGATCCTTAATTGTTAAATAAAAGGTCGATAGATATTACTAGAAACTTACTTTCAGGAATATCAAAATTATTTGTATGAAGAAGAGCAAGCGAATAAAAAATTTGAAACCATTTTTCAACAAAAGAATAATTTAGAAGATGCAGTATTTAAAAAATTGGAAGAAAAAGTTATATGCAATAAAGCAGCTCAATACATAAATGAATTATTAATAAATATAAAAAATGCTATATTAGAACATGAAATTTCAATTGCACGTGTAGAAAATACATATGGAAATAATCTCTTACAACTAGAAAAACTTAAAAATTTAATTGAAAATAGAAAAGCAGAATTGCAGGACCTGACACAAAAGAATACTGGAAAAGAAAAACAAATAGATAAATTGCAAAAAGAGATAAAAAGGTTTGAAATAATGATAGAAAAAACACAAACAAAGCTTTTAGGAATAAATAAACTTATTGATCAGGTTATATATCCTATTTTTTATTTCTTAATTTAAAATAATAAACGAATTGTACATTTTAAATAAATAATTTTAGATATTACCAGCTATTGGTGGAGAAGAATTAAGTCCACAAGATTTAAAAATTGCTAGTTTAGAAAAAAATATTCAAAAACTTCAACAAAATATTAAGAAAGCACAACAATTTTGGTTGCGTCAACAAGGTTTTGTTGTTTCATTAAGTCAACAAAGAGAATCACAACTACAAGAATTAAATCTCCTTGAAAAAGAAATTATGATAATGGGACAAAAAAATTTTAAATTAGAATATGCATTAGAAATGGTTACAAAAGAAGAAGTAAATGTGAATAAAATTATAATTTCTTTTGATCAAAAATTATCCTGTATAAATGCAAATTTAGTGATACAGAAAGATTTAAAAAAGGAATTAGAGGATAAAAATTGTGTAATAAAAAATGAATGTCTTTTATCTTTCCAAGAATTAGAATTAGAACTTATAAAATTACAAAGTGATTTAAAAAATATATGCACTGAGAAAATGATATTAAAGGAGGAATTAAATTTTGCACAACAAGAAAGCTTAGCATGGGAAAAAAAGGTAATTTATGCTGTTATGTTATTAACTTGTTTACATTTACTACAATATTTATCTAACAAAGGTACAATTGATGCAAGATACACTAAAAAATATGAAAGAAGAACAAAGTACTGGAGGTATAGCATTAATGAAGAGTGAAATTCATAGAATGGAAATGAGACTTTCCTATTTAAAAAAGATTCAAGAAAAATTAATTCATGATATGAATCTTTGTATTACAAGGAGAAATATGATAGTTGATAAAGTATTTGGTAAACTTAAAAGAAATCCAAAAGTAAAACATAATAAAAAGATTGTAATTAACAAACGTTTGTCTGATCAAAGAACAAAAATCAAACAACTTTTAAAAGTAAGTACTAAAATAATTAATTCTTAAAAACTTAGTAAATCATATGTTTTCTTATTAACAGATTACGAAGCAAACTAGTAATATGGTAGAAAAATTAAAAAATCAAATAACAAATATACAAGATAAATTAATCAAATGCCAACAGTTTTTACAAAACATAAAAATACATATTTGTACTATAGAAAAGGAAATTGAACAATTGGAACTGCTAAAATACCATGTATGCTTTTAATTGCATTATATTGACATAATTTGCTAACTATTAATTCTACTTCTCAATTTTTAGAATTTACATAGTTTGGTACTTAAACAACGAAAAGTGAAACAATTATTTGATATTAGAAATGGTGTATATAAAATGATTTATAAAAATGAAAATATAATAGAAGAAAATTTGCAGAAAGAACACGGTTGCAGAGAATATTTAATATCTATATTAGAAAAAACTGAACATGATTTTCCAATGTTACAAAGTAGTATAAAAAGAATATTACTAACTCCGCAAATTATTTGAGAAATTAATGAGTGCATAAGATAAGATAAATGTATCATTATTATGTTATCATTGAATAAATATGTTACACAATGGTACAAAGTTCTAGATACTATTATAAGAAAACCTTTTATCAAGTTACAAGTAATTTTATAAAAAGTTTCTCAAGTAGTAAATAATAAACTTGATATATAATTACATATTTGAACAAGCTAAATTTATTAACATTTAAAGAATTAAAGAAGTTGATAAACAATTGTAGATGGTAAGAAATTTGAATTTATCAAATATACGCACAATAAAGAAGTCACGTTAATTAAATCTAGATTAATCTTTATTTAGCTATCTTACTGATACGAAATATTTTCAAAATAATTATTATCGCCAAATCGATAGAAATATTGCATTTCTTGTTGTACACTTGGACTTAAAATACGTGAAAATTTTTTTTCAAATTCTACGCGTTTAAAACAATACTACGTTAATATATAGCAAAAGAATATCATTTTTGTTATTATTATTGGTATACAATGACAATGATAATAAATAACCGGTAAACATAGTGAATTATTACAAATAAACAATATACTAGATTTTACTGTTAATATCTTTAAAGTGAAATAAAATGTAAGTAATTAAATAAATACTTTTTAATGATTTGGTAATCTAATTAATATCTACAAATTTTTTTGAATTACATATATTAAATTGAATTATTGTAATTTAAAAAACTAGTATTTAACATATAAGTATTCTAATATATAAATAATTATTTTTAGATATTTATTAAAGTAATTTATAAAAAATGAATGAAAATCGTCTTGGAGTATCACATCAAACCTTGGTCTCCAATGCTGAAGATCAAGCTGTTTCAGCTAGAAAATGGCCTCAATATCTGGCTAGTTTGGCAGCAACTCTTGGAGCATTAGCAACTGGGATGACATTAGCATGGACTTCTTCTGCTGGTGAAGATGGAAAGTTATTATCTTCTTTATATCATATCAACTTTTCGAAGAGTGAATTTTCATGGATTAGCTCATTAACTGCAGT